GGACAAAATTATAGGTCTACTTGAATAAAGTGGAGAGGTTCACTACTCTGGAGGTCTTCTTGGATATATTGGAGGTTCACTACTATACTCAAGATCTTCTTGGATATATTAGACAGGTTCACTAGACTTGGATATATTGGAGAGGTTCGGTAGATTATAGGTCTACTTGGATAAAGTTGAAAGGTTCATTAGATTATAGGCCTACTTGGATATATTGGACAGGTTCACTACTAGACTCTAAGTCTTCTTGAATATATTGGACAGGTTCTTAAGACTGTAGGCCTACTTGGATAAATTGGAGAGGTGCATTAGATTATAGGTCTACTTGGATATATTGGAAAGGTTCACTACTAGACTTTAGGTCTTTTTTGATATATTGGTCAGGTTCATTAGACTGTAGGTCTACTTGACTATATTGGATAGGTTCACTTGACTGTAGGTCTACTTGAATATATTGGACAGGTTCACTTGACTGTAGGTCTACTTGAATATATTGGATAGGTTCATTAGATATATATTTGAATATGCAAGGATATATTGACGGAAAGAGGGATGTATGTATTCGGAGATATCCAAGGATATATTGGAATATAAAAGGATAAAAGAGCACATCACTTGAATACGAGGATATTTTAGTTGGCCTGGATGGATATATATTGTAAACTATATTGTTTACAAGACCATAATAAACCTGCCAATAAATACTTTAAAATTAGGTTTCAGCAAAATATCTGAAAATGAAGTGTGGAAGAGACAAATACAGTTTTTACTTAAACTATTGGTTTTCTATAGTATAGTCAACTTGGAGAACTTAAGAGAACATGAGTTTAAACTTTGCTGCAGAATTGCAAGAAATTAAACTGATTTTCTGCCGCCAGGCTGTGTTATTCAGGACGTGTGAGAGAGAGAGATCCTTGCAAATTGTAATATTTGCAGTGTCGGAAGGATTCTGATTGGACGGGACGGGGCGGAGGGAGGAGCCACCAACCCTTTATGGTCCCGCAGAGTTAGGCTTCTCACTCAAGAGGTAGGAGAGGAAGGATCAGAGGGTTGGAGAGTTGAATTGAGAGAAGATGTAGGGTTGAGCAATGAGCAAAGATAGAGAGTAGAGGATTGAATCTTAAGAAAATATAGAGTAGAGTCAGAGAATTAAAAATAGAGAGAATTTAGAGAGAGAAGAGAATTGAAAATAGAGAGAATTTAGAGAGAGAATAGAATTGAAAATAGAGAGAATTTAGAGAGAGAAGAGAATTAAAAATAGAGAGAAGTTAGGGAGAGAAGAGAATTGAAAATAGAGATAATTTAGAGAGAGAATAGAATTGAAAATAGAGATAATTTAGAGAGAGAAGAGAATTGAAAATAGAGAGAATATAGAGAGAGAAGAGAATTGAAAATAGAAAGAATATAGGTAGAGTTTTAAACATTGAGAGAATTTAGAGTAAAGGGTTAAATAGATAGACCATGCATAGAGAGCAAAGGGTTGAGCATAGAGAGAATATATAATAGAAGATTTAACATAGAGAATAGAGATGATACAGAGTAGAGGGTTAAATACAGAGAGAATATTGAGTAAAGGGTTCAATACAGAGAGGATAGAGAGTAAAGGGTTAAGCAGAGAAAGGAAAGAAAGGGTGTAGAAAAAAGGGTTGAGGAAAGAAAAGATTGAGGATGAAAAAATAGATTAATATTTAATGCAAAGGCCTTTAATCCATTAAGCTTTCCTTTTAATTCTATTTCTGGAATAAGAAAGGATAAAATGTTATTATTTAACCCAAATATTGCTGAACCAAATCTATTTTTATATGATTTATAGGAACACCCACAGAAGAACAGGAGTTCGGGGTTCCCTGTAAGTGTTCAATACAGGAAGAAAGATTGGTTTCTGCAACTTTGTACTTTTTCCAAATAAGTTTTTGTTTGTTTGCCTAGATCCGTTCTTTTACTCTGGAGTCCTCATGCAAATTCTAGAATAAATAAAGGATTGAATTTCTCCTTTCACTTCCATCATCGGAGGTTAACTTCTTTTACTGAAGGATACAAACAACAATGATAATAAAATTAGATAGTAATCAATGCTCATCATTAGATAACATAAGAAAGTTCTTTAAACCCCTCTGACTCAATCTAAGATTTGCCTAATTTCGTCGAATAGTGTAAAGTCTTATTTCACCATGTATACTTTCTCAAAATAGAACTAAATACGTTACTCATAGCCTATTGGAAGGAAATGGAATGGTAAAAGGAAGGTAACGGAAAGAAACCATGAAAAAAGATAAACGAAAGGAAAGGAAATGGAAAGAGAACAAGGAAAGAAAGAAAGGTAATTTAAAGAGAACAAGGAAGGATAGAAAGGATATGAAAATGGAACAAAGGCGGATGGAAAGGAAATGGAATGAGAACAAGGAATGATAGAAAGGGTATAAAAATGGAATAAAGGCGGATGGAAAGGAAATGGAATGAGAACAAGGAATGATAGAAAGGATATGAAAATGGCTACAAAGGCGGATGGAAAGGAAATGGAATGAGAACAAGGGCGGAAGGAAAGGCGGACGTGAATTAGCGAAGCGTAAAAAAGAGCCTTGATAAAGAGTAATAAAGTTTTGTGTAATAAACAAAATATTGCTTGAAATGACAGACTAATCCCAGTTTGCTCAGCAGTTTCGTAAACAAATGAATATTAACTAAAAATGAGTTAATTATCCGAAACTAACGAAGTTTAAAGATAAACTTTGGATTTATGATGTTTAAATGATTTCCTACAGAATCTCTCCTGCAGAGCAGTTTTTATTCTAATCAAGGAGTCAAATATCTTTCTCTTTTTCCCTTTATCTTTCATTTTACCCGCCCCCTCCTCCCCCTCCCGCCCACAACCTTTACTTTCTAGCCCCCTCCCCTCTCAATATCCCGCGTCCAACCTTTTCCTAAATTTCTTTCTTTAAAAAGCTCGAAGAATAGTTAAGAAAGTCTCGTCAAACTTAATTAGACAAGGTTTGTTTCCTCCTCTCAACCCTCTTATACTTGGATTCTCCAGGTTCCAAAACTTATCAGGTCATGGGTTCTCTAGGTTCCAGGATATATTAGGTCATAGGTTCTCGAGGTTCCTGGACTAATCAGGTCATGGGTTCTGACTTATCAGGTCATGGGTTCTCAAGGTTCCTGGACTTATCAGGTCATGGGTTTCTGGACCTATCATTTTCTGGGTTCGGATTATAAGGTCATGGGTTTTTCTGGGTTCAGACTTATCAGGTCATGGATTCTCCAGGTTCCGGGATTTGGGTATAAATACTAAAGGTTTAAGAATAATAAAAAGTTTACTTTTTAAAAAAAGGGTGACCCAGATATAGTCTAAATGATAAATAATTAGATATTTCCATTAGCCGAAATTCCATGACATTGACATTTAAAGAGTTAAGTAAGTAAATTCTTGATATAAAACAAATACATATAACTATATATAAACATCACACTTTTTCATACTTTGTAGTTGATTTGGTAAAAATGTTGTTAAAGTAAACTTCTCATCATATAAAAACCGGAGATTTATGAAAGACTCTTTAAAGGTATTGCAATTGTTTAAGTAAAGAAGCTATGTTATAAAGAATAAAGTCTTTATTCATATATACTATAGAGTAATGATAACTAAAGATGATAAAAAGGGTGCAATGTTGACCAATTTTATTATTTATTTACAAAATATCGTTTTGTAGCTTTCTAACAGTAAGTACTCTAAAAATGGGAGTGGGAGTCTTATGTAAAGAGTGGATGTTTGTCTAAGGGGAAGAAAGTGTTTTAATTAATGTTGGGAGTGGATGCTTGTCTGATGGGAAGAATGGGTGTTTGTCTGATGAGAACAGTGTGTGTTTGTCTGATGGGAAGAGTGGGTGTTTGTCTGATGAGAAGAGTGTGTGTTTGTCTGAAGGGAAGAGTGGGTGTTTGTCTGATGGGAAGAATGGGTGTTTGTCTGATGAGAACAGTGTGTGTTTTTCTGATGGGAAGAGTGGGTGTTTGTTTGATGGGAAGAGTGGGTGTTTGTCTGATGAGAAGAGTGTGTGTTTGTCTGAAGGGAAGAGTGGGTGTTTGTCCGATGGGAAGAGTGGGTGTTTGTCTGATGGGAAGAGTGGGTGTTTGTCTGATGAGAAGGGTGTGTGTTTGTCTGAAGGGAAGAGTGGGTGTTTGTCTGATGGAAAGAGTGGGTGTTTGTCTGATGAGAAGAGTGTGTGTTTGTCTGAAGGGAAGATTGGGTGTTTGTCTGATGAGAAGAGTGTGTGTTTTTTTTAAGGGAAGAGTGGGTGTTTGTCTGATGGGAAGAGTGTGTGTTTGTCTTATGGAAAGAGTGGGTGTTATCTAATGAGAGAGTGTATGTTTTTTGAAGGGAAGAGTGGGCGTTTGTCTGATGGGAAGAGTGGGTGTTTATGGGAAGAGTGGGTGTTTGGCTGATGGAAAGAGTGGGTGTTTGTCTGTTGTGAAGAGTTTGTGTTTGTGTGTTTTTGCTTGTGACAATACCCTGGAGGACTGCAGATAAACACCAGTACAGACACACAACACACACAAACATAAACCAGACATTTCAAACACAGATTTCACTACGTGAACACATAAGAGTACACAATTCACACAATACAGCTAAAAAAAACACAGAAACACTCCGACTGAGACAAATCGACAAATCACAAACACACACAACAACATTAACATAGACAACAGAAAATATTGCTTACCCGCATACATTGTAGAGCACACTAAACAAAATCAAAATCTATAAATACAAAGGATCTGAGTTTCTGCCACATAATCAAATTTTATAATCACTAGATCTTTGCAACTTATGGGATAAATCTTTTTTATTTAAACTTTCACTTTTTGACCTAACATAAGTCATAGTTTGAAATATCTAAGGTCTACGACATCGGGTTGCAAAGATATAGGGATTTCAAAAATCAGAGTCTGTATCTACAATTCAGTTCCTTTGTATCAGATAATTTATTTTTGTAAAATCTTACCGAATCCTCGCTTCGTTCCTCCTGTGTAGTCGTAATGGTAGATTGTGTGGGGGGTGTTGGACCCCAGGTAGTGACTGGACTACCTCCAAGGGGGCCGAACTCCCCCATCCCACCTCGATACTCGTCATATGGGAACTCGAAGGGTCTGTAGGTCGGTGGACCGAGCCCTGTACTCGACCACATGTTTAATGCAGATTTTTAAAATTATATTCTCAATAAGTATTTAATTATTTATTTATTTAGACTGGCTTGGCCAGAAATAGGTCGGAGAAGAGAGAGATTTGATCTCAACCCTTCTCCTTCAACACAGATAGTTCACAGCTTGGAACAGAATATTATTTTTCTCACATTATTATCTTTTTTGCAAACCTTTCCCGGACCGGACCGGAGTTGCAGAGTTGGCAAAAACCCATGGTTGCATTTTCAATGATAAAACCTGGGTTGAGTTGAGTTCTGCTAGCACCGCTTAAGGATTTGCAAAACCGCTCTTCTCTCTCATAACAACAAGAACTGCTCACTGATTCACATAAACTTTTTTGTGCTCAATCTTTTTGTCAGATTTTTAGTGCTCGCATGTTTTTTACCGCAGTATAGTGTACATTTAGTTTAGAGACAGGGTTGCCGGTCTGGTTGGAACTGCAGTGTAAGTTGGTGCCCGAGAGTGGGGCGGGTGCAGGCCTAGGGCCCGCAGTACTACAGTTCTTTGAACCCAGGCCTGGGGGTCGGGACAGCTTCTCTCTCTCTCTCTCTCTCTCTCTATTGCTCTGCATCTCTCTCTCTCTCTCTCTCGGTCTCTCTAGCTTCGATAACTGTTCATCTATCTATCAATTATAATCTCTATCATTTGTAAACTAGTTTTTTTAAATTTTGTTTTACTACAACTATCCTCATTTGGTTTATTGTAGTTATTTTCTATCATCTTGTCACTAATTGTTTCTTTTTTAATAAACATCCTATACATGGCAGTATTTTTGTTTGGAATTACTTTAAGAATTCATTTTTTCTTCGATTATTTCATTCTCTATTCCTAAACCCTAATTTGAATCCTCCTGCTCTCCTCTAACTTGAATCCGCAAATCCTAGTGATCTGCTATAACAATAAATTCCTGAATCTACCCAAACTTGAACCCTGAATTCTCTTTCTCTGTTCGAATTTAAATCCTTTAACCCTTCTACTCTGCTTTAACTTGAATTTCTAAATCCCCTTTCCCTACGTCCTTACTTAAATTGTCCTGCTCTCCTATATATGTGAATCCTTTAACTCTCCTACTTTGAATCCCCGAATCCTCCTGCTCTCATGTTATCCCCGAATCCCGAAACTATAAATCCCTGAATCTTACTGCTTTTCTCTAACTGTAAATTCCTGAATCCTCCTTCTCTGATCTAACTTTAATCTCTAAATCCTCCTGCTCTGCTCTAACCTAAATCCTTCAATCCTCTTGCTCTGCTCTAACTTGGATTCCTGAATTCTCCTGCTATGCTCTAACTTGAATCCCTGAATCCACCTGCTCCATTCTAACTTGAATCCCTGAATCCTCATCCTCTCATCTAACTTGAATCCCTGAATCCTCGTGCTCTCATCTAACTTGAATCCCTGAATCCTCCTGCTCCATTCTAACTTGAATCCCTGAATTCTCATGCTCTCATATAACTTGAATCTCTGAATCCTCCTACTCCTCTCTAACTTAAACCCCTGAATCCTCCTGCTCTGCTCTAACTTAAATCTTTGAATCCTCATGCTCTCATCTAGCTTGAGCCCCTGAATTCTACTGCTATGCTCTAACTTGAATCCCTGAATCATCCTGCTCTGCTCTAACTTGAATCCCTGAATCCTCCTGCTCTGCCTAACTTGAATCCCTGAATCCTCCTACTCCACTTTAACTTGAATCTATTGAAATCTATCTCTAGGCTGAAGCCGGGTTTGACAGAATAAATAAACATTTCTCCCTTCTCCCTCCTTCTCCTTCCTCAACCCTCACTTGATCTATGAAATATTTTAAATTCAGTTCAGATCATTGACTAATGTATTGTTGATTTTTCAATGTCTGTTTTCTGTTTACTCAAATGCACATCCCTCTACACATAGATTCAGCTTCTGGATTCATAGGTTCATACTATATATTAAGTACAACATGAATACATTATTCATATTCCTAATTATTTATTTTACATTTTCCTCTTTCCGTTAAACAAAATGCCCTTATGCTTTAAGTGTTCAACGTGAAACCCAACCTATGTATTGAGTGAGCCCCTGGAACATGGCAGGGATGGGTTTGGCCTGTCCAGTTCAATCATCCTAGGAATGATGTATTGGAAAAGGTTGAATGAACTCTATGATACGTGGGCCTAGTAGGCCTAACAAGCAGACAGGGCCAAGCCTGACAGACAGTCCGGTAGGGTCTCTTATCCAGGCCTCACAGACTGGCAGACAGGGCCTACTAGGCCTGACGGACCGGCAGACAGGGCCCATCAGACAGGCTGGGTATGTGGAGGTTTAGCCCGGACACATACATACCTCTCACACTCTCAGATGGATTTGAAGTGTCATAAATCGATATCTTCTTGATTCTCAGGTATTCCTAGAGTTCTCCGTACTTTTTAAAACTTTTGGCCTGGAGAATCCACGCGAAGGAAAACATAAAAAGAGATAAATAGTAAAATCAAATGAATGGTTTTCCGTCTAAAAAAATATTTTCGTTGATTTTTCCTGATTAAATCTTGTTGTGTTTTACTGAAAAGTTGTATAAACTGCAAATTATACTACACATTCTATTCATATTTCCCTAATCCTAGATTTACACTTCTACACCTCCACTCTACTCCTATATACACACTTCTTCTCCTATACTCCTAGATATATACTCCTACTCCTCTACTCCTAGATATACACTCCTACTCCTCTACTCTTAGATATAAACTCCTACTCCTCTACTCCTGGATATAAACTACTACTCCTCTACTTCTAGATATATACTCCTACTCCTCTATTCCTAGAAATATGTTCCTATTACTCCTAGATATAAACTACTCCTCCTCTACTCCTAGATATACACTCCTAATACTCTACTTCTAGATATACACTTCTACTCCTCTACTCCTAGATATACACTCCTACACCTCTACTCCTAGATATAAAGTCCTACTCCTCTACTCCTAGATATGCATTCCTACTCCTCTGAACCTCTACTCCTCAGAATCCAGAATACAGAATACACAATACAGTTTTCACCTGTGCTTACTTGTACCAATAAAAACGCTGACTTATGCCAACATTGAACTTATACCAAATACTTATACCAATATTGGTGTAAGTAAGCAAAAACACCTAAAACTGTCGTCAGGTCTGATGTGGCAGTAGGTCCAAAGTATCGTAGGACGGAAGTACCGTAGGACCGAAATGCTGTAGGACTGAAGTATATCGTCTTTGCATCTAGCACGTAGAATACAGTCACAGAGTACAGAACACAGATACAAAATACGGAATATTCTCCTAGATATAAACTACTACTCCTCTACTCCTAGATATACACTCCTACTTTCTTATTTTAGCTGAGATTGAATTATTTCTTGATTGATTACCAACAAAATATCGGGGTTTTAAATATATATAGAAGTTACTAAATATTAACGGTACACTTTTAAAACTCTGCTCCCTACATCCATCAACCACCCCCCCCCCCCCCCCCCAAGTATTCACTCTCAATATACTCCCTCCCTACTCCCTCTATCATCCTCCTCATCCTTCATCTACCTCCCCCCATATTACTCTTTTAACCTTCCCTATATCATCTTTTCCACTACCCTATACCCACTTTCTTATTAGCCTCCCCCATCCCCTCTCATAATACTCATTTTCCCCCTGTTCAGTTCCCCTCAGGGGATTATCCCATGCTTAACACGGGAATATCTGTGAACAAGTATTATTCAAAATTGTTAAAACATTCTATTGTATTTTGACTAACTCTTAGAGTCAAGGTTTCTATAAACCCTAGACTTTTCATATAAATGTAGGATTACGTTGTGTCTTCTGAAAATCAACTAAATGTAATAATGTGTGTTCAAGAAATTAGTATTTAAGTATAACATTTCTAGATTTAGTTAACTTTCAAGTAGGACGGATTAGGTTTGTTGCCTGGTTAATGATAATGATGATTATAAGAAATATCATTGAGTTTAATTCTCCGTCCCAACTTTAAACCAGGGTTTCCGACAAATTAAGGTCCTAGTTCATAGAGAAAATTAGAGACATATTGAAAAACTAGGATTTCATTGAATTCAGTTGAAATATAAACCAAGAATCAAAATATAGAAAAGATCACTCAACACAAACACTTATGTTTTTTAGTATAAGATTTGTTCTCTAATCCACTCTATGGTTTGACTATTGATCATTAATTTTCAATAACTATTAATCACTAAGATTCTTGACTTTGTTACACCGCGCATTGAACTTTAGAGACCGTTCGAAGGTTTTTTTTAGGCCTTGAGCCAATCTATTATTTTTAACCAATCCTTCTCAGTCAGTTCTCCTTTTATTTTTTGCTAAATTCAAAAATGTTTAAACTTTTGAATAATATAAAAGAATCATCATTATATTCTTATCACCGTTGCTTCATGAATAAGTGCAGGGCAACATTTCATATTTTCCTTGTGTGCCCCTATATGTGAAGAGCTGATGTTAGATCTATGAAATGTGAATGATATAAATGAATATTGGCAGCTTCGGCAGATACACTGATATTACTCATCAATTTATTCATTCATTCATAATACTTTTTACCCTTTCTCGTATATTTTCCTTCTTTCTTCCTTTTCTCTTCCTTTTCCTTCATCCCACTTTCCTTTCATTCTTTCTTCGTGTTCCTTTGTTTCTTTCGCCTTTCTTTCTTTCGTTATTCTCTCTCTCTTTTCCTTTCATCCTTTTAACCTTTCTTCCTTTCTTGCTTCATTCTTCAATTCTTTTCTTCCTTCCTTTCTTTCTTTCTTTCTTCCTTGCTTTCTTTCTTCCTTTCTTTCTTTCTTTCTTTCTTCCTTTCTTTTTGTGCTTTATCATTCTTTTCTTCCTTCCTTTTTTCACTTTTCCTTTCTTTCTTCATTATTTTATTTATCCTTTCCTCGCACCGAGTGTTGGTTTGTATTTGGTAATTAATTTAAACTGATCTAGAGTGTTATCAAACTCCTCAAATACAATTTTAAACTTGACTTTCTCCAGGAATAGGTCAGGACTTGGAATGTTTATTATTTCTAGATTTACTGATACTAAGCTTTTCTCAGGGATCATTTCACTCTAATTGAATTCTACTTGATGTAGGAATAATGATCACCTAATGATGAAATAAAAAAATTTAATATTTTCAAATTCTGATCCACATACGGTCATAAAATGGGAGCAAGGTTCGATGCTCTGTCCCCTAATGACAAAAATCTGAGAGATGGGACCGACGTGGGGGGGGGGGGGTTAGGGCGCGATCTAACTTTAAATCCTAATAAACCTGAAAAACCTAAAAACGAGAAAAAATCAGGTACTAAAGTTTAGGATATACCCGAAAATATTTGAACCCTACAAAAAAAATGGCGGCGCGAATTATTGAAAGTATTTGGAAATAAATTCAAGTGGATACATTACAAGTTAATCCGTTTGGTAAATCAGTTTTCGGACTGTATGTAATAACTGAGTGCATTTTGTCCAAGGTAATTCCTAGCAAGGTACTAATGCAAGGAAAGTTAATTGCCAGTTCTCTCTGGGCGGAATTTGTAAACAAGAATAGATGCATCAGTGTTCGTCTAGTATCCTAGGAGGATAAAAGTATAAAAGTTTCCTATGACCAGAAGATTTCATAGATTATTTTTGTGAAAATGGATTCCATGTCAGGCTGTGGAATACGTCTTGTGTTTACTTTTCCGCCCAAAGACAGTAAACTGCAGTACAAAAAATGCGCACACCTCTGAAATAACTTTCCTTGCATTAGTACCTTGATTCTTAGTATCTGTATCCTATTGGCTAAAGAGAGTCCATTCATTACAGTCAATATGTGAAGTAACAAACGAATTTCAAAAAATAAAATAAAAGATAATAATAAGATTGACAAATTCTCTAGAAACTATTAAAACAGGGTATCGTCATGAAACCCAGTATCAGAAACCCGGTTTCATGAATGGGGTTGGGCAGTTTTATACGAATGTTTTTTGTTACAAAATATAATCTTTTTAGTTTCTTTACATTCTCTTTCTGTTTTCTAATTTCTTAAATCGAAATCTACACAAATTTTTAGACAAAAGAAACTCTTATATAGAGATATTAAGTAGAGTACAGAAATGTGTACTCAAAGATACTCTCTTATATAGATAAATGTTTGGTTTGGTAAGTGGACGGAGGGTCCAACGGAGGTACAGTTTGTCAGAGACGACCTTACAACAGGGTAATTTTAGGGGTATAGTTCACAAATATATATAGATACGCTGGCAGGTAGAAACCTCCTTCCTAAATTGCTTGTAGCAGACAACTAATTTTTGTACCTCTCAGATAAAGTGCAACGAGAGACATCTATAGCAAATTGATTACTTTCTATAATCCTTTCTCCCCTGCTGCCATCTGTAGGAAAATTTCTAGGTAACACAAACATACAGTACGCGTTTTGTTTATGTTTTGATCAGTTGTGTGATATCTATTTAATCAAACGGTTTTTATGAGATATTTAAATAAAATTAGATTTTTTAATTGGTACCACAATATGCAANTTCTGAGTTTCTGGAAAAGACGACAAAAATCAGTCTAGCTGTTTTGCCGCGTTTCTTTCCCGAGTTCAGTTTTTCATTCGGCCCGCCAGAAGTCACATGTCTTGGGGCTTAAATTTTAAAAAATATTAAAGACACACAGTTTAATCAAAACCTGAGCAAATATAAAATATTTACAGAAACATGGCGTTAGAATTTGAAAAACTATCAGAGGAAGATCTTGCAAGCCACAGAGCCAAAATCATCAGCATTATTCAGGAATTTCAATTTTTCATTTCAAGTAATCAAAGTTTTTCGAAGTTTCGGGAAAAAGGCCGTCGGGCCAAAAATATTTTTTCTTAATCATGTTCAAGCCGTCGAGCTTTAAATTTCAAATCTTATTAAACATGTAACTTAGAGAAAGTCATTTGAGATCAAACAAGTATGCCGTCGAGCAAGAAATTAACACTGAGAAAACAAATCAAAGTAAGCCGTCGAGCTTTTTTTTTAAAAAAAAATAGAGGAAATAGTTGTTAATACCCGTTGAGCTAAAGTAAAATTTATTGGTCATGAAATCGGCAATTTTCTCTGTTTTTTCAATATAAAAACAGAAAAGATATCGAATGTTGAACTAAAGAAAAAATCGTTTTGTTTCGGGGTTTTTTAAATAAAGAAATATTAAAAATTGCAATAAACCAGATTCAACCGACCGATTCAGACCAGAAGATTGCTATCAAGAGGACTGCAGAGCTCCTGGGGGAGGCCCTTTTCAAAGAAGAGGATCAGATCAAGTCGTTAGCTGCCGCGGCTGATAGGACAGAGCAACAGAACGAGTTCTTAGGGAACCTGAGATTGTCGGCCAAGAAGTTGTCGGATGGGCTGACTGGACATCTCATCAAAATTCAGGAAGGAGAAGAAGTCTACATCAAGTACATGAAAGCGAGCAGGGGAAGTCTAGTAATTCCGGGTTTATCTGAGGCAGAGGCCAAAGTCCTAAACGATTGTAAGAAAGAAGCGGAGGAGGAAAACAGAAAGAGAGACAAGGAAAAGCTCAACGTGAACACAGACTACCAGGCTCAGAAATGGAAATATCCAACCTACGGGAAGTCTCAATACCAGTACAAGTACTCACCTTACGGAGGACAGAGGTAATGAAGTAGGAGTAAATGAATTGTTTGGCCATTTTTTATTTCTTTTCCCAAAAATATATTCCAATTCAGACTGATTCAGAAGAAAAAATTGTTATTTTCAACAAAAAACTCAGCAGTAAAAATTAATCCTAAGCAGAACAGAACAGTAAGATGAATATCGGTTTTTTCTAGAATAGTTTCTCTAAAATGAGGGTTAAATATCGTGATAGTGTACAATAGGTACAATGATGCCGATAGTGTATCTTTTGTTTTTCTCCAAATATTTATTCTACCTAAAACTGTTTCAAGAACAAATTATTTTTTTCTTTTTCTTTTTACAAAGAAACTTAGCCGTCAATATCAATTCAGAGTTATCTAAACAAAACCTGTTATCCGTAATTAATTTAATGTTGTCTTTCCAGGAGACCATTTCAACAGTTCACAAACATACAACAAACCCTGGTCAACCAGCAACCTCAAATCCTCCTGCCATCTCAGACGCAACAGATCCTTCCAGTTCCCGCTCCTCAGCTCGCGCAGGGTCCGACTCAACAATTCATGCAGGTTCCCCAGTTTCAACAGTTTTATGATTCACAGAATCAAGGAGCTGGTACTTCAGGAATGTCACAGCGGGGGTTTGGAAGAAGGTTCATTGATAAGTCCAACACTCAGTGCATGAAGTGTGAGGCCTGGGGCCACTGGCATAAAGACGGGTTGTGCAAGCCTGAAGACGTGGCACGAGTAAACTACCAGAGGGCAACTCAGCAGGGAGCTGCAAATGCCCTCACATATCAAGGGAACTAGTGTAAAACTACAAAAGAGAGTTTTTTCTGATCTTAGAACAGATCTTGGGGTCCGTTAATTGCTAAAAAGCTCTTGTTCTTCAATTTAGTTGCTCATTTTTTCTTTGTAATTTTTTTCGCTGATTAGTGTTGTTTGTCTTAGAGTAGGTCGTCATATTTATATTTTTCATTTTCACCTGTACAAAGTTATACAAAGATAAAACTGAAAAATTCAAATGCATAGGCGCGAAGTCAGATAACCTAAATCTTTGTTATTCTATGAATAGTGAACAAACAACAGTGTTGCCTTTTCCGCCCTTCAATCATGCGGGGCCTGACTCCGATGTCTCACAGAATCTTAAAACTGGTACTTTAAGACCAGATATTTCTGCCTGTAAATTTCTCAAAAGTTCTCGTGTTTCTATATAATTTTGTTTCTTATATGTTATTATTTCTCTCTCTGAAAATTGTTTGGTTGTGTGATAATCATTTTTCTTACTCGCCAGTTACGGTTATTCCTGTTTACGACTTCAAACAAAGTTTAAAAATGGAAAATTCGGACTCACAGGTCTGAAGATTAACTCTGACTGTATGTCTCAAATTGTAAATAAATAAAAGAAAGAGATATTTGTTCAGTTTCAAATTTATTAATTTTTTCAGATAAATAGTAGATTGATATGTCAAAGAGAAAAAATTCGGCCAAGGGCTGAGGCGTCATTTGTCTGTAAAAAAGGAGTTTAGTTAAATAAGGAAAATGTAAAACGAGAAGATAAATTTTCTTCCTTTTGTAAAATTAAATCTGAAGCAACCAGGAGAGTTTGTCAGATGGTCTGATTATCACAAACAGGGAAAAAAATATCGTGTTTTTTCTGGTTGTTCATAGTTTAGTATTTTACCTGGTTTTCTAAAAAAATTTCAAAAAACGGGGACGAATGGTTGCTTTCATAGCTCGGAACAAAAATGGCAACAGGAAATAAAAATCGAATAAAGATAAACATAAAGAAAACATTTTTTCAAAATATTAAAAAAGGGGTTAATTAGGGGGCAAAACAAGGTCTAGACACTTTTTGATTCTGGCAAACAAAGGAAAAACAGGCCTTCTCAAAATAAAAAACAAAGAAAATTTCGTCCTTTTTCTACTCAAATCGGTAAATAATTAAGGTCTTTCTGTTTTTTGATTACTGAATATGAGCTGGAGGGAAAAAATCGTTTTTTAAGAAAAGAAGTTTTACACTAAGGGTATGAAACAGGAGAGAAAGGGAACAGCAGGGGACAGGGCTCGGATATTCAGGACTTCTGGATAAACCCAAAGGAGAGGTTCGAACAATTCGTATCGATCTTCAAAAGCAAAGGTTTTGAACTCAAAGAAGAACAGGAAGGAAACATAAGTGCAGTAGACAGTATAAGGTTTATGAAGGAACAAATTGGAGCAGATAATTGGACCATAGAAACCCTACGACATGGACTGAAGGTGGTGCTAAGAGAAGAACCAGAACCTTTCGAGAAAGGAAACAATAATTCAGCCAGGAAATACATGAAAATCCTAAAAGAAAAGGTCGACGAGTGGGAAACAAAAGGTTATGTGAGAAAATTATCGTTCAAACCTAAATATGTCAATGCGATGTCGGTGATCAGACAAGAAAACAGCACAACGAAAGAGTTAAAATTCAGACCGGTAATAGACATGAAAACAATAAACAATTTAGTGTTATGTGAAAAAACCAAGTTGGACGACCTGACAGTAGTAGAACCGATGCTCAAGGAAAGAGATTTCATGGCTTCCTTTGACTTAGAAAACATGTATTTTCATGTGAAATTGCATCCAGACTCAATCAAATATTTTGGTTTCAGTCTCCCGGGAGAGCAAGGAGAGTCAATCTATTATCAATTCACAATCATGTGTTACGGATTCAATCAAGCAGTGCAAGTGGCCACGAGACTCACAAAACCACTGAAAGCCTGGCTTCATGAACAAGGAATTAGAGCAGCTCAGTACTTAGATGACAACCTCACGTTGGGGAAAAATAAGCTAGACTGTGATTTCAAGTTCAAACTAGCCTTATCGATATTTCAATTAGCAGGTTGGAAGATTCAATGGAAGAAGACTTCCAAGGAACCAGAACAGAGATTGTTGTTTCTAGGTTTTATAATAGACACAGTTCAGATGAAATTCTTCGCAGCGGAAGAAAAACTAGCAAATATAGAAAATCTCATGGTCGATTTTTTGATGAAAATAGTGTTCAAATGTAGTTTCAATTCCAAGGATGTTGCAGGGGTTCTGGGAAAAATTCAGAGTCTCAGGAGGAGTCACGGATCTCTGGTAGGAATAATGTCAAGGTCCACTCAACATCAGCTAGGAAAATTTGTTACAAAAAATGATTGGACGACAGGTTTGGTCCTCAACAACCAATGTTTCGAGGAATTAAATGCTTTGAAGAACGAATTAAAAACGTCAAATGGTCAATTCATCCAGAATTCGTTCACAGCAGGAAAAACTTTCGAACTGGAAGAAGTCTCGAGAATGGTCAAAATCATTGAAACTACCGAAAACAAAGTCGAAAATTTGATGGTGTCGGATGCCTCAGCAACTTCTGCATTCGTGTACCATGATGGTCAGGTAGAACTAATAAACGATCATGAATTCGACAAATTCGAAAAATCGACAAGTTCAGGTCATAGGGAACTCTTAGCAGTAATCAAAACACTGGAGTCAGAACAAAATTCGTCTTTCTTTACCAACTTAATCAACAGGAGGCTTTACTGGCAAACCGACAGCAAAAATAGTTTCATCTTCATGTCAAGAGGCTCCAGAGTTCCCTCCATCCAAAAAGACGTCTTCAAACTCAAAACATTAGAAAAACGTCTAAATCTGCAGATCGTACCAGTGTGGACTTCAAGAAATCACAACAGAATAGTCCTAGAGGATCTGGGTTCCAAATTCAGTCAAAGCACCGACGAATGGGGCGTTTCAAGGGACCTTATTCAACAAATATTTTCAAGTTGGGAAATCCAACCCACCGTCGATTGTTTTGCGTCTTCATCCAACACAATCTGCGGAAAATTCTTCTCGAAAATACCACAGATAGGTTCATCAGGAGTAAATTTTTTTGATCAAGACCTCAAGGTTCATGAAATATATTTCTGCTGCCCTCCAACTAAGCTGGTGGGCCATACATGGCATCATTTGCTAAACCACAAGGGAATCACAGCTATTTTAATTTGCCCAGTTTGGAAATCTGCAAACTACTGGCCTCTTATATTTCAAGGTCCAAATCCACACAAAAATATAAAAGAGTTTCGTTTTTTTTCAGGGAGATTTCTTGTGTTTAACCAAGTAAAATCACTTTTTTCCAAAGCTAGATTTATGGATATGGTGGCAATTCTGTTAAAAACAGAATAATCTCTGAAAAAATATTAAAGGCAGTGGGGGTCCTTTGTCTGTTTTTTTCCTTTTTTTGTTTGTTTTTTGTGATAAAAATGTAAACTTCTCTTCACAGTGAAACAAAACTATTCGAATTTTTCTATAACAAAAATCAGTATTAACATTCATTTTTTATGAAAATCTCAAACAATGCAGAAATTATAAGTTCAACAAATATATTTTTTGCAATGTTCATTTTTTGTTCACTTCGTTATCTCAGAGAAGGAAAATATAAAATTGTTCATTGGCTCTTCCCAATTAAATCTAACCTAGTACCAGTAACTCTAAAGTTACAGGTTAGACCTGTTAACATAGTAATCGAAGTGCTTGCCACAGCAATTAGTGTTTTGGATCATGACAGATTTTAAATACAAAAATTGTAAGAAAAAATCATAGTTTTGTAAACTTGTATAAACCTATCCTCAGTTAAATAAGTCGAAGTGTCTTGCTAAATTGTGAGGATAAACTCAGTAAAAGAATACGCCCAATGTCATCTTATTCTTGATTGGTTTTCATCGTGTTTTGGACTAAATTCAGAAAAATGAGTATTATATAAGATCTTTTTGTCAGAGTATTGCAATTAAAACAGGGTTAAAACAAAATTACAAACAAATCAGTTAAAAATTTTTTGATCTTTCACTATTAGTATTCTGAGTAAAAGCTAGATAGTTCTTCATGTTCAATGTTTATTTTCACGAGTTTTCAAAATCTTTTAATTAAAAATGTTTTTCAGATCGTTGCTTCGGTTCAAAAAAGAAAATGGAAGTGGCAGCTTTCGAAGAAATAGGTGGTCCTCCAGTAACCAGAATCATCAGAGATGATTATCATGGACTGACCCTATTCATCTCAGAACCAGGAGTCAGGACAAACTTCCCAGGTCTAAAAATTCCTTTTGGACTGCAAATAGGAGCTTTTCCTTTGGTACACAATTTTTTACTTAAGAATCCTGAAGCGGTCGAAGCAGCAAACATCATGCTTTCAATGCCGTTGTCTTTAGGTTCGCAAAAAAGTTATTCTCCAGTCATTAAAGAATTTCAAGATTTTTGCCAAAGAAAGAATTTTTGTTTGACAAATTTTTCTGAAGAAAACGTAGTTGAATTTCTGGGGCACGCTTATGCAAAAAAGGCATCAATTTCTTATTTTGCAAAAATTATGCCAAGTCTGAGGGCATACGAGAAGATGGTGAAATTAGGAGACTCAGCCTTGACCTCGAGAGTCGAAGCCATGGTAAATAGTTTCAAAAGAGAGCTATGCAAAAAGAGGGCAAAAGTCAAAAAAGGAACAGGTTACCCTATTGACATTTTCAGTGAAATAGTAGTTAACGAGATTTTTCCCTATGAATTTGAGTTGTACAAAGTGAACGTGAATGAGTTTAGATCAGTTTTTAGGGCGATAGTGATTTATTTTACATTCTGCAGATTCAGTGATTTCAACGTCTTAAGGGACAGAGATTTCGAGGACAACGGTCATTTTATAGAAATTAACTTCACAAATTCGAAAAATGATCAATATGTTGAGGGTACAAACAGCGTCATTCCAATCAGTGGAGAGAATTTCTGCCCAGTTAAACTCATAAGATTATTCTTCAAAAGATTTGGGTTGAAATTTGCACATGAAGAGGGCACTGAGATAAGCTCAATAAACTTCAGACTAGCCAAAAGAGGACAGGGTAGGAGTTTTGCCTTAAAATCGACCAAGCTGAGTTGTTCTACTGCAACAAAATACACAAGGAAACTGTTACAGAAACATGGGATAGATGGCTCAAGATTTACAGAAAAATCGATGAAGATTTCAGGTGTGACAGCACTCTGCGATACAGGGGAACCCTTAGAAAACGTGGCGATAGCAGGAAGGTGGAAAAGTTCCACTACCCCGATGCATTACAGGAACACCAGTAAAAAATTTAGAGTGGAAGTAGCAAAAAGAATCCCTTTGTCAAACAAGGATTAGAATAGACCAATAAATAAGTTACAATGCCAACATGTTAAATAGTAGGCGTAGTAATCAGTCGTTTTCCTAAAAATTATGTGCTGTTTTGGAAAATTAATAGAAGCAAAGATGTTGTTATTTTCAGAAAGAAATGAGGCGCAAGGAATAACGTCGCTGGTCTCCCAGGAAACTGTCAACAGATCATTCTCACTCTATCAGGGAACTGAAAACAGACCCACCTCAGTTGGTGTGCAGCCTGTCTAGCACGCAGTCTCGTCGGGCTTAGGAGCACCTCTCTCTCTGGATGTACGTAAAGAGTAGTCAGTCGCACTCAGTTTTTCGTTCTTAGCAGGCTCGGACACGCGAGAGTCCCGGGACGCACGAGACATGCTTGTACACCGAATTCTTTATTTTTCGCGAAGTACCTTACAACCTCAAAAACGAAGCGAAAAATATTAGTTTGATAACGAATGCCGCACACCAGTATTTATTACGGAGGCGTGGTGGATCCGCATCTGAACTACTGCCGTTTGAACTATTGATCATTTGAAGTATTTTTCTTTCTAACAACTGATAATGACGTCATTTCCTGTAGTTCGAGCAACACATTATTTACTCATTTGAACTATTAAATATGCGGTTTAANTGTTGTTCTGATGGCAAATTGTCACGATAACAATGAGCCACTATGTTAAAAATAATAGATTTTCTCTAAAATCATGTTTAAATTGTACAAGGAAAAGTTGGTTCTGAGAAGAGAAAAACTACTTTTCCTACGAGCACTGTGAAACGAACTAAACTTGATGATACCACGCCAGCTGTCACTGCAGGAGTAGTTCCTGTAACCACCAAACCTGTAGCAGTAATATCGCCCACCATTGCGTTTGTTGAAACTGAATGTAAAACTTCAAATACAAAGGAAATTCATCATGCTAGTTCTTCACAAACTGTTGTTGCTCCTGTTAAAGAACCTTTGAAAACCAAACCTGATAAATCCTCTTTAATGACTTCAAAAGTTCTTCCGAAGAAAACCACTAGCTCCTGTGCCGATTCAGATCATAGTCATACTGTTGAAGTAAAGAAACAGGTAGGCATACAGTTTCAACGATTAAATATATATTTCATGGGCCCAGTACTGTGATGAGACATAAAGGGTGTGGCTGTGTCTAAATGGCCTTGGGGTTCAGTGCTACAGCAATTTTCTTTTTCAAATGTCTTATATGCATCTGTATGTTCATAATGTTTGTGACAATCTGATAGAATTGCCCTGTGGAGGTCAACTTATAGAAATATTAGATTTAGTCATGCTATTTAACAAATCAACGGTATATTGTTTATGAATCAATTCCAAGAGTCCTTTTTTGCACCTGTATTTTCTGAAAGTCTTTTCCTCTAAAAAAGTTAGAATCATTGAAATTGTTTCATGAAAGGTATCTAACCAAAGACTTGTTTACAATTGCTTAATATTCTTTTCTTTACTTATTGATAACTTTTAGGAAACACTTAAGTTCTTTCCATTCAAATCTGATTCTATCCGAATGGAAGCTCGTCTTCTTGTTCCATTTAAAACTACCAGCAAAGATATAAAAGATGTAACTTTTGCAGAAATCGTCAAAGATCAGGTCAGTTATAAAAAAATTTCAATTCAATCCAGTCAGAGGCGTATTCAGGGGGGCTATGGGGGCTAAGCACCCCCCTCTGGGCCAGTGAAATCTATTGATCCCCTTGGGACAAATTCCTGAATACGCCCCTGTCCATTCTTAAATACTTTCGTATACAAACTATACAATCAAAGAGCAAAAAATTTGTAAGGGGGATTGTGTGTGATTTTGACAACCTTTTGTTAATGTTTCTTATCCATAAGCATTGTTTTAATTTTTATTTACCTCTTAAATTTTGGTAAGTCAGATTTGACTTTAAAAATAATAAAAAACATGGCATTTGTGAGGAATATTTATTTTTTGTTGTCTTCCATCAAGGAAAAAACTCTTCTGATTAATATTCTTTTTAGGAGCTTGGAATTGGTTTGATAGTGAAGAAACAGATATGTAAAGTAAAAACTGATTCTATCTGCGTTTATGTGAATAATGACACCACACACCATGTTATTCTAAGAAGCACAGCTGCTTTAGAAGTTGCTGTTAATGGTTCATTACCACAAGATGTAAACGTGCCTAAAATTGAGTCTGAACCATCTTTAAAACCAAAATTAGAAACACCCAACGTAATAACTTCCCAAGTACCCTCAACCAAGAACACAGCTCAAAGTCATTCTATTCCAGTAAAGGAAGAAGTAAGTTTTCTAATCTATAGCTCTCAAAACACTTTAAAGTTATATCGAACAAAAACTTGCTATTGCCAGGTTAGCTATTCAAGGGCGGTTCTTATTACATCCAGGGTTGCTAACTTTAAAATGTTGACTTAAACATTTCTTTTATAAAACTTTTAATGTTTATAATTTATGACTTTTTAGGAAACATTGATGTTTACTCCAGTTTCTCCCACTACTATCAGAATGGAAGCTTGTACCCTTGTTCAATTTAAAACTACAAATAAAGACTTGAAAGAAGTTGTCTCGGCAGAAATCATCAAAGAACAGGTCAGTTCTGAAATGGAGCTAGTTATTTTGGGCAAATCAGCTCTTAAATCCGTAGTTTTGGGAAGACCGATTAGGAAAACAATTAACTGAGTATCTATGATGATTTGGATATAATTGATTAGCAGCATGTTTATAGCATCCCTAAACTGGATTTGGATTTCTATGCGGATCCAAGGATCTGGATCCAAGTGGCAAAATATCAACTAAAATACGCACTTAATGTTTTGCACTAGAATTGGATGTTTTTACTTGTGAAAGATTATTAAAATATGTTTGATCTCTAAATGTTAGATCACAACAATTGAAGAAAAAAATGAAAATATCACTTTTGTAAATGAAATAAGTAAAACCTTAAAGGGAGTGTAAATGTATTTTCAAGTGACCCTCCATGCAAGGATGGCAATGCCGATTTATAACGATACCCTTGAAAGCTTTGTTTAACCAAGTATGAATTAGATATCAATGTTTTTGTTTCTTTAAACTGTTCATTTTCATTTGAGGTTTCTCTGCGAAAGTGACTTATGACATTCCTTGTTTATAAGAAGCAATGAAAAAACTCAAAGAAATAAAGTTTTTGAGTCAGAAAAACGATGGTATCTTCCACATTTTTAATCACACTAAGGTTTCAAGAGTACTGTTGTAAATCGGGATTTGCTATCTTTGCATGGAGTGTCACTGGAAATTACGCTTACAGTCCCTTTAAGGTTTTACTTATTTCATTTAAAAATTGTTATTATCATTTTTTCTTATATCCATAACTTTAGCACTGGATAGAAAAATAGTTTGCACTGCTTATATCATTGATGAATGAAAAACAATTGGGTTTCAAAAGTTAAATTTTAGGAAGTTGGAGTTGGGTTGCTAGTGAAGAAACAGATATGTAAAGTGAAAACTGATTCAATTGCGGTCTATGTATATAATGACACAACTAAGCATAGTCGACTGAAAAGTACAATTGGTCTAGAGGTTTCTATAAATAGTGCTGTACTACAAGTTGTGAATGTCCCAAAAAACGAATCTATGTTGTCTTTGAATCCTAAATTAGAGACATCAGTCTTAATAACGGCGAAAGAACCAACAACCAAGAACACAAGCAATGATACTATACAAGCTAAAAGTAACTCTCTTGAAGTAAAAAGTGAGGTAAGTCTTACACATAATTACCATTACTTAACTAATATATTACATATTGTGCACACATTTCATTAGTTTTTTTAAGTTTTTAGATGGGGTTTTCTTAAATAAAATCCAGGAATAATTTTATTTAGAGTAGGATGTGCCAGAAACCCCCTTACATTTCTTCCTAAAATAAGTGTACTACAATAAAGAAATTTGGGTGTACGACATATCTTCTTTCCAAGGGGTATTCATTTTTTAAATTAGGGATGGGAGATGGGATAAATGATTTTTGATGCTCGGGGTTAAATTGAAAACTACAACATTTATTGGCAAGTCAAAGCATTCAAATTTTTTACATTTTCTTTATATTCTGATTAATTGATTAAACCATGGCCAAAAAAAAAACAGAGCACAGAGCAAAGATCCCACATCAAATCAAGCCCAGCTCAGAACGAAATGAACACAGCAAAGAAAAAAACAAGTTTTCTACATCAAATTAAAAATTGGGGGTTTCAACTTTTTTTGACACTGTCTGACATTTAAAATATAATAACAAAATTGTTTTTCAATTATTTAAATATCCTAGGAAACTACTTCCAAACAGGAAATAAAGTTCTCTGAGGAGGTAAACAAACATTTTTTGATGAAGGTTTAAATTTGAATGTGATGTTAACTTTCAGAGAAACTTTCAAAGTCATACTCTATTTTTTGTGATTACTTCTTTAAAAATTGAAATTAATGTTTGTTTTTTTATATACAGAATCAGACAATCTTAATTTTTTAAATTAGGAAGCCTTGAAGTTTACTCCAGTTTCTTCTACTTGTATTCGCATGGAAGCTCGAATTCTTGTTCCATTTAAACCTGCCAATAAAGACATGAAAGAAGTTACCTCAGCAGAAATTATCAAAGATCAGGTCAGTTCAGGAATATGGTACTTAAAAATGGTCAAAAATGCTCGTTTTTAAGAATAGTACATTTTTGGGAGATTTTTTAAACCAAACCAAGCAAATTTTAAAATTTTTCTAAAATTTCAATGGATCTAATCTTTTTAAACAATACGAAGGAATGATATATGTCATGATAAATCAAAAAAATATTTTTTAGCCATGTAGAATCTACATGCATATTTCTTAAAAGTATATAAGGCGAGTGGTCCCATCTCAAAAAGAAATATTTTCTTGTATTTGTATGACTAAGTGTCACTTCATTCCAGTCTGCATCATGCAAATATCACAACTTAGTCTTTTTTTGGGTACCCTATTGGGAATATTTGGTTTTGAACTCCAAGAGGTCCAAATAGGAACATGCTAGTAGTGTTTTGTGGTTCAGTAACTGCTTGAGGTCTTTACTTATAATTCTTCTAAGCACAGGAAATAGTCTCTTTAAACCATAAGTCATATCTTGATTCGATCATGTTGATAGTTTTTGACTCTCTGACCTACAAAGGAAAAAGTTTCATTTCTATGGGATTCTAAACACTATTTCGGTTTGATTAAATTTTTTTATGGATTCTGAATTTATAGGTTATATAAAAAATTTGATTATTAATATTAGATATTTTCTCAGCTTAAAATAAGTATGCCTAATTAACAAAAATTATCCTGAATAATTTTTTCAGGTACTTGGAGCTGGGCTGATAGTGAAGAAACAGATATGTAAAGTGAAAACGGATTCAATTTCCGTTTATGTTAACAATGACACCACAACGCATAGCTTTCTGAAAAACACAGTTACATTGGAGGTTCTTATTAATAGTCCTTCTCCCCATGCTGTTGAGATACCTGAAAAAGATTCTAAAAAAAATCAGACCTGCAATTTAGCCCCTGCTGTGAGTGAAGTATTAAAAAATGACTTATTGATCGCTGGATCAGAATCAATGCCAGATCAACCTTTTTCAACAGAGTCATTTAAATGGAAAAATGGATTCATTAAGGTAGGATTTTTTTCTTGATGTAAATAGTTATTCAAGACTTTTTCAATGTTTTTTTAAGGAATATGTTGACTCTGGAGACATGGGAAAAATTGGTGTTATCCAAGGAGATGGTGCTGAGGATGGAATTATTTTCTTCTCTTGTCATCATGTCTGGGAAAATGATAAATGGTTGAACTATGTATCTGCTAGGTAATTTAGGGAGATATATTTTTCAGAATCCCCCCTCTCCAAACTTTTCGAGAGATTTGAGGGAGAAGATTCTTTTGTAACATTTATCTCTTAATAATAGAGTACCGAAAAGTGTTGGACAGAAGGGCAACAGGTATGACGGTAGAATTAAGAACTCACAATTCTCATACAAACAAAAATAACAATTGTATAAATACACCTTAAACTTTTTAACAAGCATTTATTTGAGCATTTGATTTGAGCAATGGTTTATATTCTGAACTATTAAAGAGACTGTGTTATTTGAATTAAACAATTTTATACATAATGAAACAAATAGTAACTTAATAATTGGAAAATGGTTTAAAGGGAGTGTTCGCAAAAAATGCAAGGGGGTATAGGCTTACAGCGAAAATTAATCGCTTTTGATCACTACTAATCTTACTTCTATCTGTTGCGTCTATAAGGAGAAAATTGTTAAAACACGACTTATACTGAAGAACGTAGCGTTCATACAAATTCAGAAAGTTGTAATATACAACTCATATTGTATAATAATCAATTTAATTTCAAACAAATCATTCAGATATCACAAGTCATCAATTATTTTTCGACGCATTTGTATATAGTTAATATTTTATAATATTTGTTATTAGTTTTATATTCAATGCATTTAAAAAACTTTTTCCCACTAGGTGTCTCTGCCACATGTAATCATTCAAAGCATTGAGAGCAGAAACATCTGGCGGCCAACTATTTTGGCGTTTTAAGTGCATTATATACAAAACGAATATAAAATATTTATTATATACAAATGCGTTGAAAAATAATCGATGATGTTAGGTTGCAATATCTGGATTATTTTTTTTTGAAATTAATTTGATTTTTTCCGGTTCGAGTCGTATATTGCAACTTTTTGAATTTGTATGGACGCTACATTCTTCAGTGCAAGTATTTTTTAACAAATTTCTCCTTAAAGACGCAACAGATAGAAGTAAGATTAGTAGCGATCAAAAGCGATTATTTTTCGCCCAAAGCCTATACCCCCTTTCATTTTTCGCGAACACTCCCTTTAAGGGTACCTTTTAACTCAGAAATTTCCATCCGTGCTTGTAGGGTCACTTTAAATTGGGCTTTTACTTTACTTACAGTCCAGTTAACAAAATTTTCTGAACATAGTTAAGAGATTGTCAAGGTAATTTTGAGTGATCCTTTCCTTAAATGACCTTTAAATCCTAAATTGAGGCTTGAAAAACAAATATGTTAAATACTTAGATAAGGTAGAGATGTTTTTGTTTAATAGTGTCACTGAATATTTCATTGTTATTCCCCTTTAATATGAAACCTTTTATTACTCAGGAAAAGTTTGCCTCCTGGTACGAGAGTTGTTTTCACTGCTGAAAAGCACACTATGGATCATAATAAGAACTGCTATGTAAGTATTAAATAATTTTTCGTATAATGGTTTTAAGCATTGGATAAATTTTATTTTTAAATATGAACTTATTACATTCAAATTATATAAATCTTTTCTTCTTTAAATCTTCTCTTCATAATTAGCTGGATGTTAGGACTGAGCCTCCCCCCCCGTTTATGCCATGTTTGCAAAGTAAAACATTATACATTCAAATATAGATATGAAATCAATGGTGGAATCGATTATTTAATTATCATCATTATTTTCAATTCTTTATGGCTACAAATGCAATGTATTCTTTAAATATCGTCTTTGCAATAAAATTCCTGGAAGTCTATGGGAAATGTTTTGGAAAGAATTCAATATTACAGAAACTTGTGCATATATTTTCGATGTAAAGGTTTAGTTATTATTTTCTTAACCTGCTTCTAAAATTTATATTAGGTTAAAGATGAATTTTGTTACATTAAAAAATCCGAATCGTGGGAGCTAACCACAGAAATATCATGTCTCGTGATTATTGAAGAACGAGTTTTCGATCTTATTTAGTAATTATGGAACTTAATATGCGTTTTTTATGTATCAAATGAATCCTGGTTTTTTTATTTGATAAAACTCTCTGAGCTAAACTACAATACTTAGCCAGCCACTCCCTTTGAAGAGTTAGTGAGATTGCGAGTCATTTCAAGACTCGGTCATTCTGGAACCTATCTAGTATCTACCCTTTCATTGCACATTTTCTATGTTTAGAATATACAGCAGGCATTTATTTTGTGCAAGCATAAAATAAATCTGGACAATAGTAAAGCTAAGACAATAGTACAGCAAAGTTCATATTTGTCCTCATTAGGTAAGAATGTAAATTTTTTTTAACTATGTTGAGAATGTGGATATTTTTTCAAGTTAAAAACTTTAAGTTTATCATAAGGAAGTTTATAAATTTTAAAACTAATGTAGACGGTATAGGAATCAAAACTAAGGAGTGTCTTTCAAGGAAAATCGTTTCCTCTAAAAATATCAATGTAATATTTTACTATAAAGATGCTAATGCTAATGCTAATGCTAATACTAATGCTAATACTAATGCTAATGCTAATGCTAATGCTAATGCTAATGCTAATTATCTAGGAATGTTGAGAATATCTTGATTTCTTCATGTGTGGTCTGCTATAGATCAGATGTATAAAGCTTCAGTTTTTCTCATATCAGCCGCCGCTCCATTTTCAATGGTTCTTATCATACAGTTCTTTAAACTTTAGTGGATTTTTGATATGTTTAACATCATGGGGTAAAGAATTTCATAAGTCAATAACTCTGTGTGAGAAAAAATGCTTCCTAATCTCAAGTCTAGCAACAGGTTTAGCAAGAATAAGACCTCTTGATTTAATCTTGTGACTTGTTCTCTTTCACCAAAAAAATTAAGACCAGAGATTCTTGTCAACATTGTCAAATCTATTGACAATCTTAAAAGCTTGAATCATAGCTGCTCTTTTTTTCTATCCTTTAGTGTTTGTAGATTAAGCTCCTTGAGTTTTTCATCCTAGATTGATCCCTTCAATCCAGATACAAAAGAGACAACTCTCATTTGTACTCTTTCTAGAACATTACAATATGGTTAATTATAATATTTAAAACTATTGTTTGCTCTCAAACACACAAATCAAAAGCTGTTCCCTAATAAAAGATTGGTAAATCTTCTTTAATCCCTCAATTGACAATTGAGTTTTAGAATAAGAAAAAAAAAATATAGTTAAAATGTTGTTTTGAGAAAATTACGTAATTTTGAAGAATTGTCAATATGCTGGATTCGAATTCTTACATGATAGATCTAGACTTAAAAATGGAAGGGAATGTATCAGGATCCAGTTGAAAATGGAATGGAATGTATCCGGATCCAGTTGAAAATGGAATGGAATGTATCAGGATCCAGTTGAAAATGGAAGGGAATGGATCCGCTTAAAATTAAAATTGAATGTATCCGATTATGGTTGAAAATTTAATGGACAGGATCCGGATCCACTTGAATATGTAAAACGGGTAAATACTCCAACCAAAATGGAATGGATTGTTTCCGCAATGTGTTTATTATTAATCTAGGTGCTGTTTAGTCTGAAGCAAACTTATTTGAACGGAGAATTGTATTCTGGAGATCTAGCTAAGTATAGTTCTTCTGCTTGTTGGGTCCATCAAGATATACCTCCAGGGACAACTGTACAGTTTGATGCCAGGCACGGCAAGGGCATTAGCTTCCAGGTCAAACTAAAATGTTCTAGAAAATTAATTTTTTTAAATAATACAACCCCGCCCCCTCAAACTGCAAAAATTTATTTTCTCACTGAACATTTTTCGATTTATCCGAAAACCCAAATTCAGGAATACTAAATACCCCCAAAATTGCGCCTAGAACATTATATAATCCCCTTAGTAATAAATTCTTAAATTAATGAATTATTATCATAATTAACTGATCGTCATAAAAATAGGATTTCTTTTCTTTCAAATCAATTAGGATTAATAAGGCTGTAAAGAATGATTTGATTTGATTTGTGGAAATTAAGGGTGAACCTTTCTTAATCGAATTAAGAAAAAATCTACCTCATTGATGCTACACAGGGCAAGTTTTGACATGCTGAAAAAGTTTTTTTGAAGGACTGTTCTGGTTCCATATACATGAACGGTTTCGCCCATAATTTCCAAAAGTTTTAAATGATTTGTCAGAATTAACAGCTTCGAAATGTTCTTTAAGGCCTTTACAAATAGATCCGGAAGAAATTAAACTTTAAACTCGGCTTAGTTTCCGGCAGCATGCTTCATGTATTTGCAATGTGTTTCAAAGTTTCATTAAAAGTGCGAAAATCCTTGGGGTTTGAAAAGCCCAGTGAATCTGTCTGTCTTGAGTCTAGACTCTTGAGATGGGCATAGTTTTTTTTGAACAATCGATAATTTTTCATGAAAAATGGTGTAGCTAGAACGATGAATGAACGAAATGGATCGTTTAGAGAAATTAAAAAATTATCGTTTTTTTAAAAAGAACAATAAAAAAACACGTACGATTTAAAATTATTCAAACGAACTTGAAAAAACGATAGTTTTTTTTACTGAAAGAGCGATTTTTTTTATTTATTGTTCTTTGTTACTGGAATAACGATTATTTCTAACAAACTTATGACTGAACGAACGATTTTACTTAACGGTCGTTCACTGAGAAAACTAACAAAATAGATGGAAATTAAACGATAACTTGAGAATAAACAAAATCAAATTTGTTTGAACGATTGAACAAAACTACCGAAATGGGTCGTTCACAAACAATTAAGTAACGAAATAAAAAAACGCCCCAATATCTATTAATGACGTGTTTTAAGTTTTAATTTAACTTCCACGCTGTTCAATATTTTTTATATTCTAGGCTATTTATGTATTTATTGGAGCTCGGCCCAACCATGTCCGTCCAACCTATATTCCTGGTGGATCTGGAACAGTCCTGGACAAAAAATATCGTCGACTCTTCCTTTCACGTGGAGAAGCAAAGATGGCGCCGGCGGAATTCAAGAAAACATTCTACTTTTTTGATCTAGGTTTACCCGAGTGTTTGGGCAATGATTTAAAAAGAATTAAAGCGCTTAAGGGGATAGTCTTCTAGAATGTTTAAATAACTGCTTACAATTAAAGGGATTGCAACTAAGTAATGTCGTTTTTATTTATAGCAAATCCTTGTAATATGTTGTTGCTTATCACTCTCGTCAATTGTTATTTATTAATTGTATAATTTATATTGTGTAACAGTTTGTCTTCCATGATTTTGTTTTGCAAAAGCACTTGTACAGTAAACGCAATTTCAAGTTACATTCCATTAATAGGTTCCAATTCATTTTGATGTGGAACTTTAAAAAATATGTTTATTTTTTTTCGCTTATTTTATGCTAAAACTCGATAAATCTGAAGAGATGAAAATTTTTAATAAATTCTCTTTTTTTAAATTTTAGATTTGGGGGAATTGAGCAATTTGTGGGGTTTTTTTCAGGTTTTTATTGTTATTTTGTTCCTCGGATCGATCCGTGATTTCACGTATTTTGCGTTTGCGGATGAAGTACGTAGGCACTCCGTCGATTGTCATTAATGATCAGACAAACGTTTAAAGGGCACCGTTGTGAATCGGACACAGGGGCGTACGAGGGGGGCCGAGCCCCCCCCCCCCTTTAATATTACATCTGCTTGCGTTTCCCTTCCTCAGGCAATTTACATTCTACATTGCATTGCATTGTACTCACCCAAACTAAAAAATTAAGAAAAGAACAAAGGTATAAATATTTTTTCAAAAAGTGGTTTTTAAGGGGGGCACAAAAAAAATTTTCGCGCAAATTGTGCCCCCACCTACACTAATGCTCTTCTACGCCCCTGATCGGACATGCCATTCTACAAATAAATGGTCTCTTGAAACTACGTATACAAACCCTTGAGACTGAACAATTTAAAACTTTTTTATCTGTTTTCGTTTTCTTCAATTCTTATTTTGTATAGTTTTTGTATGCATTGTATTTGTATTGTATTTGACATCTAGAGTTACCCAGAACGGATGAGACTGTAAGGACGACCTAAAACTCAATTTTATGGTCATGGGTGCGATTAAGTCTTCTTTTTTAAAGTAATCTTTTATAGCTTGTTCAATGATTAGACAAAGAAAGAAACATATTTATTATCGTTGCGTTGAATCATTTGTACAGTTTCTTTGAAGTCACATGCTTTGTGGGTAACCTTGAACCCTGTATTTGCAAAAATGTCAAGTATTATTTAACGTACTTTTTGCCAACAAAATTCGCCGGATTTTACCAAATTGTAAATTTCAATCAAAAGCTTCGGACTGTGGCCGTGAGTTAAAAACTATGTTATTCTAAAATCTTTATTGTGAAATAAGTGTTGTACCTATAGGAACCAGTTACTACAGGAACTAGTTACTATAGGAACTAGTTACTATAGGGGCTAGTTACTATAGGAACTTTGACTTTAATCGTATATCAGTTGTTCACAAGTGGAAAAAAAACTATTAAAAATTTTAAAACTTTTTAATTTCAAAAATTATGTCCTGATGAAATCTTTATTTGGAAAGAAATGTTTTTTTGCCTTTAATCATATAGGATCTGTTGTTCACAAGTGGCAAAAACAATCAAAATTTGAAATCAGTTTTTCTGATACTTACAAATTATGATATGCTGAAATTCATCAATAAAATCATATTATAGTGCAATATACAATATACATATTCAAAACTAAACTCTGAAACTTCACTAAATTAGTAGCCGCGGTTGCTTTAGAACGTGACTTTCGGAATACAGGGTTATTTAAAAAATGAAACGAAAGTGTTCAGTCCATTTTTTTTGTATTCAGTGTCCGAATTTAATGAATTCAAGCCGCATCTCAAATACCCTAAAAAATCGGTTTCACTTGAGCGATCCGTCTTAAATCTTGAAAAATTGAATACAATTTTAAGTGGAACCAAGCTTATTTGAGCCGCGGCTTAAATTAATTAAATTCGGCCTCAGGGTTCCTTGTTGGCCAAAACTGGCTTATTAATGTGCTTAATCATTTAGTAAACTATTAAAATACTCAATATAATTCAGAAACAAAAATCAAAGTTTAAATCGTCATATTTTTAGAGTTTTGGGTCTTATCCTTTGTAGCTAGAAAATAAATCTGTATATGTGTTAAATCCTAAATGAAAAATCTTTTTTATTTTTATTGTTTTAAGATTTAAATATTTACTTCTGAAAACATTATATGTTTTTTCTTTCCATATCTTTAGTGATGTGTATTCAGTTGGTTCGGTTTCATAATTGTTTATTTTAAAAAATTTTTCTTACATTATGCAAAGTTTTGACCCGGACAGAACATATTTTTGAAGAGGTCTCTGCTTTGATTTCCACCAAATGATAGTTGATCTGTGATTTATTTATTTATAGACAAAAAACGAACTAAAGACATTTGTGTTGTGAGGGAAGGGGTGCAGGGCAACCAGTCCCAGTCCCACAGAGATGGTTTTGCGGGGCTTGAAGATCATTTCGCGGGGCTCATGGCCCGGTGGCTCTCTCTGCTATTGTAACAATCGGTTTTTTAATTTAATTTTTTGGGATAAAAATATTATTAAGTTTAATAAAGCAATTCTCAACTTTAGACACCTTTTTAAATCTTGATTAAGTTTTGTAAGTTCGACTATGGATATTTTTAGAGTTTATTGTTTGGTTATCAATTTATAAAAAATCATATATTGTTGTCGGGGGTGAAAAATAACAAAAATTGTCCTTTTCTAATACATGAACTTTTTACACTTCCATTTCTTTCAATAAAAATTAATTATATTCCTAGAAAATAATATTTTTCTTAACTTATTCCTCCCTGACTAAATTATGATGTCTTTTATATATAAAAAGAAAAAATCTGATTCCTTTTAATGATAATTAAAATTTTGTTATTTTCCTGAGTGGCAATTTCCCAAGAGGCAGCTTCCCAGGTCAATTCTAGTCGCAGCGCTCGGCCCTTCTAGTCTGCTCTAGCCGAAATGCTCGTCCTCCAGCCCATCATAGGCACAGCGATCGCAGTCTGCAGTGCGTAAGAAGGCCTTAACTAACCTTTAGCCTTAAATGTATATTTGGGATGTTGCATACTTGGGAAAGTACCTTTTTATTAGTCTTTTTATCTAATTAGAACTGTCGAATTTTGTTTATATTTGTCGTCGTTATTTAATAATTAAAAAAAACTATTCTGAAACGTATCCACCCAAAAGTACTATTTTAACCATCGACTCAACAGATTTACAGATCTTTATAATGTTTTATATGACTCAAATGAATCCTAAAGAATTTGTTCACATCACTGCATACTCAGTATAACTACCTTACATAGCCGGTCTGTCCCTTTATGTTTTGATTTCTAACAAGCTTTTTTCCAAGTTAAGCTTGGTAGAAATCTAAAGTCGTTTTGATTGTATTGATAAATCGACGACGACTGTTGTTCAAACGAAAATTTCGTAATTGGAAGTAATTCGGAAAAATCGTTTAAACCCTAACTGTGAGACTAGGATCTCAGAACTTGCGGTTCAATTAATCTTAACAAAAGAAAAGCTTGAGAGAATGCACTACGAAATCTTAAAAATGTAGGGAAATGTTCAAAGTATTCTTTTTTCAATCTAGATAAAAGTCAAGGATTTTTCATATTTTAAAAGAACTTTTGCGGTTTTCATTTCAAAATATGTAGAATGGATTAAAATTGGAGAATTTACTTCTAAATAAATAGATTCATGCATGCCGCAAAACACGTTTGGGTGACGGTGATTACTAATAAAGGACTTCTGCACTTCCCCGAGGGAGGGAATCCCCGGACGCCATGAGCCTCTTCTATGCAGACACGAGCCTCCCAGATTTGCCAGGAAGGCCGAACCTCCGCTATGCAGACCGTGCCTCCACTATGCAGTGAACGAGCCTCCACCATACAAAACAGCTTTTTAAAATCTTGGTTTTATGTGTAATGAAAAATGTCAACAATTTTTTTTGACATAGTGGCATGATAGGTTTCTCACAGATAAGAAGTACTCATCAATTATCATAATAGTTCCTAATTATGACTAATAAAGTGGAATATAAAACTTTAAACATTCCTTACATTAAAAGAAAAATATTTAGAGAAAAAAAATTGAATTAAATTTTATTTCAGCTTTTATAATCTTTGATTTAAGAAATACTCTTTTTGAAATTCAAAATAAGTCTAGAAAATTGTATAATTTATATAAATCTTAACATTTTTCAAAAAAAGGTATTGTTTAAATCAAAGATTACAACAAAACAAACTAAATTTACTCCAATAATATTTCTCCAAACATCTTCCTTTCTGCGTAAGAAATGTTTAAAGTTTAAAGTTTACGAGTCCATTATGATTTTAATCATGACAATCAATAAATAAATCTAATCTATAATACATTATATTATATAGTCCTTTAATTGGGACTACAATGGACTCCAAAGGGCAGTAGTCACAGGAGACTACTCAGGACTTCAAAGAGTAATAAAGAACAATATAAAGTACATATAATATATAGTCCTTGAATTTACATTTTTGTATTTTCTAAATTTTGTACTCTTCCCTGAAACTATATATACGTTCTTATTGTACTTGTACCGGACTGACTGGAGTCTAATTGTTTTTTTACCGGACTGAGATGCCGTCTCCGAAGAATTCTCCGTCAAGAGCGGAAGCCTTTGCCCTATAGTCAAAATCCGCGAGCTCTACAGTCCACACACTGTACAGGGAATACTTGCACACAAATCTCGCAACTTAATTTATAAAACTCCAACATTTAGCCAATGTTCATCTCATTTTTGTGATATGCTTTAACAGCTAGCGATCAGCAAACCTATTGTGAACGGTTAGTATATTTATCAGAAGGAGAAGAGTTGAATTCTAATCATGAAAGAAGTTAACAAAAGGAATAATATCTTGATTCTCTATAAGTTAATTCCTTTAGAAAAAGAGGATTATATTTTTTTCCGAGCCCCCCCCCCCCTATCCCTCCGAAACTCGATGTTGTTTATGAATCGATCCTCCCATATGTTTAATTTATCATTTATTCTTAGAAAAACTTGTTTTTTTATATTTTACTAAAAGGTTTTTAACATCAGCATCAAACAAATTTCACGCGCAAATAAACAAAGTGAATTTTTTTAAAGTACGTTTGTTAAATTAATGGAATATTAATTAATATGTAAAAGAAATGGTAGCATTGATAAATCTACCCGATTTTACTTTAAAAATGCAAAAACTCTTTTTTTGTGAACCTAATTTAAAGGGACCCTCCATGGGAAGAGGGGAATGACCGATTGACAACGGTACCTTTAAGCCCTTTGATTGGGTATCAAGGGCAAAGAACTCCGATTGTTTATCTATTTCCGAGAAAAAAAACTGACGTTACTTATATTTCTAGAAAATTCTATCCGTCCCAATTTTTTTACAATTTAGTCAAAGTTTAAAAGGTTAACGTTGTATTACGCTTACAGTCCCTTTAAGTTAAAAATCAAAGTATTATATGTATTTTTTAAATAGGTGAATAATAGAGTTATAGAGTGGGTTGATTTTGGAACCATTTTTTATTTAAAGAAAAAAGTTAAATAATCGGCCCACCCTAATGAACAATTCTTCTTAAAAAAGTTTCTGTGCCCATGCGGTGCTAATTTCCAAACTCCGAGCTAAAGCTACTATGTGATTTTTGACTCTTCTTCCTCCCCCATCTCCCAATTAATTCCTTTCTACACTCTTAATGGGGGGGGGGGGGGCTGTAGGGGGCTTCTCTTTCATATATACTTTCCAAAAGATTTTTGGACCACAATGGATGCTAAGCCACCCGCCCCACCCAAATAAATTTCTTTAGAAGGGGGGATCATTCCTTTGACGTACAGGCCCGTTTTGAAAACTAAATCCCAAGGACAAATTCTGAGAACCCCTGATTCAGTTGGTGGGTTCAAAGATTGTTACATTGCCGCTATAGTTTATCAAGATATTGATTGATTAGATTTATAAACATCCACACCAACTACAGTCCTATCAATAATAATCTTCATCAACATCTGGTAGGTTATATGTAGTGCTTTAAACCATCTATCTGCATTGTATTTTTATGAGAAGTTTCTCTCCAAAATAAAATGATAAATGAAGACGACTTCTGTTCGAGAAGCCTTAAAATTAATGATTGAAAGTTGTCATAGTTTACTGTTTTATTTGGTGAGCACTGTAAATTCAGGAAACACTGATTATTTCCACAAGTCGTCATCACTTACTATTCTCTTTTGGGGAGCACTATATATTTATAAAAATTTATGAGAAAGTGTCATCATTTACCATTTTATCGTGCACAATAAAAGTGAATTCAACTTAATTCTTTGTAAAACCCATATTTATTTATCTATGTTACAACCAAAAATGATAATAATAGGGGGGGGGGGTAATATAGTAAGCCCCCCCCTTCCTTTCATCCAACCTGATTTTTTGTGCTTATTTTCATATCCCTTTTCCACGTACTGCACCTAATAACAACAATGAGTGAAGTTACGAAACTTCGTAAGCAAAAATTTTTCTATCGTACATTTTTCTCCACTTTTCTCTACGGGACCAAAAAAGAAAAACATTTAACGATTGATAATAAATAAAAAAATGAGGGACACCATTAAAGTCGTATTCCTTTTCCAAAGTTTTCTGTTTCTCACTGTAATAAAGTTATTTAATCCAATTTTTTCTGAATAATTCTTATAGATACGTACAATAACTTTTTTATATAAATTAGAAACAATGTTTTTAAATACTTACAATAATACCGGCCAACCAAACTTTTTCCTACGTTCCGTGAAAATCCAGGACAAGCCTTTTTTAAGAATAACCTTCAAAGAACGGATATTAATATACCAGTTGATAAATGACACAAGTCTAGTGTATAAAGCATACACCTTCTATATCACACTAGCTTTTCTGAACCCCACTATTTCTACTTCAGTACAAGATCACTGCAGTACAAAATCAAGGTTATAATGCAAGGAAAGTTAATTGCAGTTGCGTATACTCTGTGTACATATTGAAACCAGTTCTCTCTGAGCTGAATTTGTAAACAAGAACAGATGCATCAGTGTTCGTTTAGTATCCGAGGAAGTTGAACGAATTAAATTTTGATAATTTAGAAAATTCACATAATAGTTTCCTATGACCAGAATATTTCATAGATTTTTTATGTGAAAGATGGATCCCATGTCAGGCTTCTACATCCGCCTTGTATTTACATTAGCGCCCAGAGACAGTACATTGCAGTACAGAAGATGCGTACACCTCTGAAGTATTTTTCCATGCATTATAACCTTGCACCAAATAAGTAGTTTAGAATATGATGAAGAAAAGAAAGGTAGAAGTTTGGTAATGTTATGTATATTTTTACAACTGTATATTTTTATAAATTATGGTTACATCAAATGATAACAAACAACTTAATGAAAACATTCTATTGTAGTCACAAATACTTATTCAACAAAAAGGGGAATTCGTATATTATGCAAGTAAATTAATTTTTAATTGATTTTAGTAACACAATTGGAAGAAAGAGGTGATTAAGGTTAAGGCTAAAAGTGTTGTAACATATACGTTGTCCACAAAAGAAGTGTACTGCAGTTTCTGAAAAAATATAAACAAAGACATATGCATTACTGTTTATATCCCTCCCGGATAATGCTGTAAACTCGTACACCTCTGAAATAACTTTCCTTGCATTAAATCCTTGACTCAGTCAATAGAAACTATTCTGTTTTCACTACTACCCTGTATACAACAAGCTTGTTTTTGTTCACACTGGGAGTTTGTTTACATATCACGAAAATGTTTACAAAGAAAAACTAATTTGAAATTACACCAAACACATTGTGCAATAATAATAAAAAAGTAAAAATGCTGAAGATCCGGTAACAATAATTTTTTTATCTCATAAAACTTACAATTTTTCTGAACAAATCGAAAGTGACGCCATGGTGTGACAATGTTTAAACCCCCCATATTCAATAATAATAACAAAGGAAGCGGCCGGCTTTAATATCGACTTCAACACCTTTACATACCAAAATATGGAGGTTACATTGGGTGTAACTGTATCGTTTGTGAATTTGGTTTTATTGGACACAAACAAACAAACAGACTGCAGACAAACAAAGCATATATAGATTAGCAAGAACAACATATACTGCATATTAAGAATGAAGTCGTCATAAAATATAATACGGCATTTATGTAATTTATGCATATTCAAAGGAAGTAAACCACTGCTAACTAGAGAAAATAAAATTTACTATAGTTTGACGTGAAACAACATTGTGGACCGCTTGAACCTTTGCAATCTTTCTTTGGATAGCTAACAACGATGAAAGACTATTTGTAGGTCGTCTCTCATTTGTTACGTTTATTTACACATCCTATACACAATGTACGCGTATATACACCTCTCAACCCTTGATATTATGCATACAATTGCCGCCTATTTGTATCATGACAACAATATTAGAACACTAGCCAACAATTTATACGGTTTTGATTAATTTTTTACCCTTTAGTGAAAGGAGGAAGGGGTGGAAATGAAGGAAGGGGAAAATTGAGGGGGGAGGGGGAAATGGAGGGAAGTATAAGAAAATGAAGAAGGGG